CCCCAAAACCCCAAAACCCCAAAACCCCAAAACCCCTTAGGAAACCTTTTGTGTTGAAGTATGATAATTTAATGCTGAAAATTCCCATGAATCCTCACATGCCCTAGCCCATACTTTTCAAATATCGAAACCACATAGCTTCGTTTAAGCTCACATTTCCATCCATAGCCTACTTGTTGTAGCGAATCCTTCAGGTCTGACTGCGAAAGGCCATTGATAAAATTCTCGAATTCCTCTGGATGATTAACCCAGTCACTAAACCCATCCTCCTCTCATCATCAGAAGTACATCCTCTGAATCTCCGTTCTTTCCAGGTACCTATCAAAGTCAGGAACAGTCTTGAACGAGAACTTGCAGTAAGTAAACTCCATAGCTTTCTTCTGCCTATTAGCCCCTAAGAACCTCTTCAGCTGCATTGAGCTGATCTTAAAATTGGTAAGAGAGATCCTTTTAGGAATTTTAGAGCTGAGATGGAGGATGATAGGAAGGTATGCATCTATCTTTCAGAGGATGGCAGCTTTGAGGATCAGGATTTGGACTCCATTTGGGGGAATACAGTTTGTCAGAAAGTTCTTAATATGCTTGTTGGGTTTCGACAGGTCATTAAAAGTAATTCCTCTTTTTGGTCCGAGGGGAACATTTAGCATCTTCTTTCAAAAGAAATTATTTGTTGAATTTTTCAGATCGAGAGATAGCCAATTGTTAATTAAAAAATATTCCAGTTGTTCCTCATCCATTATAGCTTTGGAAAAATCAGAATAAAATTTTGAGTTTAGTTGGTTCAATTGGAGCTGGTCATAGTATTCAGAGTCAGAGTCAATTTTAGAATAGTTGATCTTTTGTTTTGCTTGAGAAGTTTGAAGAGATAAAGAAATTGGATCAGTCCCTACTTCATGTGTTTCAACACATTCCTTTATACCCTCATCCTTACACTCCTCTTCTGCTTCTACCCTCTTATCTCTCTTCAGCACTTCTCCATCCTTCCCTAGCTCTACCCCTTCACTCTTGTCCAATCCTCTCAGGCCATCCTTCCCCTCATTCTTCTTTACTCTCAATGGCTTTCCACTTTCTCTTCACACAGGTCTGTAACTTTCAAGGTCTTCTACTGAGGCCTCCATTTATATATAATTCTCAACTTGGCTTCTGAGTTGGGGTTTTGGGGTTTTGGGGTTTTGGGG